GGCCAGATTGTGGCGCCTGTCAGGAGAGGCTAAATGGCTGTGATGGGGCTCACAGGGTAGCTTCAGAGGGAAAGGCCAGCTCACCTCTTTGGTCTGTCAGGAAGCATATCAGTTTCCCTCTACTAGAGGCTGCAGGCAAGGGAAGGTCATGAGCCTTGTTGTGAACATCGACTGGCTGTGAGGGGGGAAACTTAAATAAGATTATCGAAGCTGAGAAACTAAGATCTTTGGTTTAAAGGCTGAAAGTACAAATAGATATTTTTAAACTGTGAAGGAGGCACTGTTGCTTTTAGATGTCGGGAGAGCAACCTGGATGGTCTGATTCTATTAGGCAAAGGCAGGAACCCCAGGTATTTACCTGTGAGATGCCTTTTTATCACAACAAATTCTTCCTGCTGCCAACCACGTCACATAGAACGTTGCTGGGTTTGGGAATCTAGGTGCGATATTTAAAACCGTGTGTTCAGGTTTTGGTTGCTGCCTGACGACAGTCTTTTTTTTTAATGTGTGTCTATTTTACCAGCAGCAGTTTGGAGAAACCCCAATGGCTGCAAGAACAAAGGAAACCCCATGTGGCTTGCTGAAGCCCTGAGACCTTCACTGCAGACACTCTGAGAACAGAGGACAGAAGACACAGAAGCACTCAGGCTGTACTTATGAGAAATCAATACCCACAGACTCTGGGAGAAAAGTTAGTACTCAGTTTGGAAGGGGAACATCTGAGACAGTGACTTTTCTCTTACCTGGCTGGAAATTATGTCCCTTAAAAAAAGTGTGTCTAAGTTCTTTTGGACTTTCAACACTGTAATGATGGCAAAATCAAAAACATCTCCTTCGAGGGGAACCTGAGGGATGTGTCATTATCAAGAACTTGGGGGAAGGAGGTTGAACTCCGCCAGAAAGCTTAATAATTCAGCAGGGCTCAGAGTGTATCAGCGGCCTCTACTCTGCGGAAGATCAGAGAGCTGAAGGCTTCTCTCCGTCAGGAAAGAGGATCTGGGTGGGAAGAGCCTCTCCTGTTAGGGACAAGAGTTTTCGGATACGAAGAGGTGGGAAGATGAGTTTGGTCATTGGAGTGAGCTGCTGTGAGGCTTTTTGTCTTAAGAGGAAGAAGTTACAGGCTTTCAGGGCACAGGGCACCAGACGAGGCTGGAGGTGGAAGGCTATGATACAAGGGACCTCCTCCAGGTCCCCAGGCTTGGAGAAGGGGTGATCACAAGGGCAATCTGGGCAGCACTGTCGGAAGCCTGGGAGAATCTTCCTGGCCAGGGGAGGGAATGTGTTACAAGCCAAGAAGGGCCAGAAAGGCCAGTGTGAGCTCAGAAGAAACCACTTAACCAAAGGGCCCTTGCCTGGAGTCAACACTCTTGAGAATTTTACCAGCCCTTGAGGCCAAACCAAGAGCTTCCAGATCAGGCTGTAAATTTAAGTACTTCAGTCAGTGTAAAATACAATCTATAACCCATTGAAGGGTGGAAGAAAGGGTAGGAAAGGCAGCGTGACGTTACGGAAAGAGCTAAGGCTTTGCAGCCAGACTCATTGTGTGACCTTGGGCCAGTTACTTCACCCCTCTGAGCGTTGCTCCCTTCATTTTTAAAATCAACATAATGATATCTACCTTGAGAGGCTGCAGCAAGGATTCAGTGAGGAAAGCATGTGAAGCACCAGTACAGTACCTGGAAACTGAAAGTGCTCAATAATTGTCAGTTTCCTTCCCCTTCCAAAGGCTGAGCTTGCGCAAGTCAATCATTGTATCTTTGCAGCTGCACTGTCCAATACAGCGGCGAGTACTAGCCACGTACGGCTCTTCGCACTCTAAAGGTGACTAGTCTGAACTGAGACGCACTGTGAGTGTAAAACACACACCAGATCTCAAAACTTTGTACAAAAAAAGGTTAAATGTCTTATCAGTAATTTTATAGTGATTACCTGTGGAAATGATAATATTTTGGATGTATTAGCTTAGTTTTAAAATGACAGCATGGCTCACACTGTATTCCTACTGAACAGTGCTGATCTGGACATTAGATGAAGATAGGGGTGGGAAGCTGTGTTCCAGAAGCTCATTTGTTTCTGTGCTTTGCGTTTGTGCTTTGGTTTGTTGTCCTGCCTCCCTAGTTAAAGACCCTTTTGAAAACGTGCCGTTCAAGGCGCAACCAAAATGGGTGGAAGGTACCCGTGCGCCCCTAGTGGCTGAGTGTGGTGGTGGCCACAGTCCAGGAAAAAAAAGGCAGGGCTGGTAGATGAGAAAATTGACGTATCAGGGGGGACATCAGGGTCGCTGGGCATGAACTATTCCTTCTTAGCCTGGAGCTTCATTCTAGATCCCTCTACTGATCTTGACTCCAGGAGGATGGCCCCGTTCTCTCTTATTTCAGAAGGCTCCCATCTTATACATGAACTTGGCAGGAAATAGGCTCCCCTCAGGCAGTAGCAAACACAGGTGCACAGGAAAATGCCACTTGAAAGCCACCTTCAGAAAACCACAGAGTTTCCAGAGAAATGAACAGCAGACATTCATAGACACGAGAATGTTCTTTTTTTCTCTCCCAAGAAGTGTGATTGGTTGTTGTTTTTAAAACTGTACATTTTACTGTACATTTTTTTTTTTTTGCAAAGGAGAAGATTGGCATTTATATTCTGACCACAGGGATGTTGTCTTCCAAAACTCCACGTCAGAAACATGACAAACACAAGCGCAAGTACATATCATGTCATGACAGAGCTCAGGGCCACTGACAAGAACAGACAGCTGGTTCCTCCCCTTCCGATGTCCACCATTTTCCCTCTGGGTGTCTGAACCCAAAGGCGAAAAGAAAGGTGGTACTGGGGGTCACTTCCTCAATGGCTACATTTAGAAAGGCTGAGTGAGAAAGGTGCAGAGAGACAATGGAGAGGAGGGAAATGGAGGCGGGAGAGAGGAGGGTAGGAAAGACTTGCTTTCCAGTCAGCCAGTTCTATGGGCACAGCCATGACGGGGGAAGGCGTGTGCTCTGACGCTGGGACTGGCCTGGAAAATTAACTTGTGTTCTCAGGAACATACTGGCCTGGTCAGTTAATGACCTTGTCAAGACCAGAAAGGGACTGGGGAAGGCAAATGGTCACAGGAAGAAAAAGAATGAAGACGGGAAGGTGGAGGGAAGATGAGGAGAGGGAGACGGAAGGGAGGAGGGGAAGAAGGATGAAGTTATGGGATTTGGAGGCTCCTGGGCTGGAGCCAGAAGGCAATCCTGCATAGACAGCTCCCCACCCTCTCCTTGTGTGTTCCCGGTGGGGTGGGGGGCCACCAGCTCAGCTCCAGGTCTGAGCCCATCAGAACTTTTCAGCCCAAAGTGGACTCACCTGTATGCTTTGTATGCTGTGTGGTGGGCAAGTGGAAGGAGGGAGAAGAGCGAGAGAGGTTAGGGATATGTGGAGGAGCTTGAGAGAGGAAAGAATGAGCTGGGGAGATTGAGGGAGAGGTAGTGCGTTGGCAATGAGGAGAGACCTGGAACAGAGGAGACCAGGAGAGACAGAGATGTAGGGGACAGTCCTTCAGATGCTTCTAAAGCAGTTTCTTCCTCCCGCATCCCCTCTGCCCCATCTCAACACTGTCTGGAGTGCAGAGGTTAATCCCTAGATGGAAAGGAGCCCATGTGCCCCTCCCATCGCCATCTTGTCGTCTCCATGGATGGATCTTCCTCATGAATGGCATCTATGGAAGGCATTCCCCACGTCCCACCCTGAGCCAGTTTCTTCAGGAACAAACAAGGGACAGATTTTGGACCCAGAAATGCCCTAGCCAGGGTGAAGACAGTGTAACAGATCCCAACCACCACCCCCAGGAGGTAGGCAACCTTGACACCAGCCTTGACTTTGTCACTAACTCACTGTGTGACCTTGGGCAAGTCCCTTATACTCTGGGGGGAAGGGGAGAGAGGGTTAAAGATGAGATGATGGCAAACACCTCTTCAAGCTTTAAAACTCTACGATTCTAGATTCAGCTTTCCCTCTCCAAAGCCTCTAGAACTTTCCATCTGTGTTCTGTAGGAAGGACAAGGACTGCTCTACAGCCTGTGCTCCTGGTACTGCTGAGCTGGAAACCATAACATTTAGAGTCATGGAGAGTTCATTAGTCCTTAGAACTGGAAGGGAATCGGAGACCTGGTACAATCCCAGGATTCTGCAAATTAGGAGACTGAGGTCCAAAGACAGAAAGGGCCTTGCCCAGTGTGTTTAGATGGTTATTCGGTGGTGGCTCTGGAACCCAAACCCAGAGCTTTGGACTCCAAGTCCAGTGCTCCTTCAGCCACCCCACTCTGCTTTCCTTAAGAGAAGCTCTCTTGACCTACCACATGCTCACGAGGACTTTCTGTCCCAGCTTCCCAATAAAAGAGGCAAAAATCCCAAAGCAACTCCAAAAGTTAACATCCCTTATGCCCTTATGCCTCATAAAGCCCTTCTCCCTCTCTCACACATTAGGAGTCCTGGAATTTACCCTTCTGGTTTTAGCTGATGTGACGGGTATGTACGGGGTGTCATGTTTGAGAAGCAAAGGGAGCAGGGTCAGGTATGGGGGGTCACTCATGTCTCCCAAGTGTGGGGACGCTTGGGAATACTGAGGGGTCTGGGCAGAGGACTCCACAGTCTCCCCCCAAACAAGTGTGGAGCCAGAATCATTCCCTTCTTTTGTCGATTGACCACAATCGCTTGCTTCCAGGGCGGCTGGGACCCTGCTTCCATATGCAGAGTAAACTCTCCATTATCTATGTGAATGAAGAGGAGGAGGCTGGGAAATGGAAAAAAAAAAATTAAGAAATAGAAACAACACTGGAACCTTCAGCACTCCAAAGCTGCTTGCTTATACGCTACGTTTGTGATTAGAAAGGCGGGAGGGCCACCCTTTCAAACACTCGGGGCTCAGTCAGACATTTTAGCGATAGAGTCCACTTTCCCTGAGCACACCCCACTGGGTGGTGGGGGACAGGCCTGGGAAGGGGGCGTGGATGGTGCGCGGGGGAGGCCGTTGACAGAGAAGAAACTGCCCTGGATGTAAACATCACCATGGAAACTCCACAAAGACTCCCATCAAGATTCTTTCCCCTTCTTCCACCCTGCAAGTGGGGAGGGAGGACACCCACCCCCAGGCCTACACCGTGCTCTCCATCACCCACTCGGAGCTGCCAAAAGTCCCCCGGGCCCCCACCAGGTCACTCTCCTCAAAGGGCAAGAGCATGCCGTTGACAGAGAGGCTGCGTTTTGTCCAGATGTTCGAGACCCTCCGAGGGGGGCTGTAGCCACCTGAGGCGACCACTTCCGCTGCCGCAGCTGCAGCCGCAAAGTCCCCCATGTCAAAGGAGTGGCTGCGTTTGGCCTTGCCCTCCAGGGGCAAGGGGAGCAGGCTCCTGGCCCGGGCCGTGGGTGGCCCCAGCAGTGGCTCTCGGTCCGAGTGGTGGCCCCTGGCCGATGTCCCAGACCCTCTCCCGCCTGGAGTCCTGGAGTCCAGCAGCTCTTCCTTTCTCTGACTCTTGAGGTCCAGGGAGGCAAAGGCCCCCATCAGGCGGTCAAGGTTGGGCTTGGGGCGGGGGACAGGGGGCGGGAGCCTCCAGGGGCCATGTCCCAGCCCCGCGGCCTCCCCGCTGCCCAGGGAGCTGGAGGAAGAGGAGTCGCTGCCTCGGGCCAGGCTGGCACTGAACTGGACCAGCTCGTTGCGCACCACCACCTTGGGCGGCCCCTGCACGGGGGCCCCGCTGGGCGTGCTGCCCAGAGCAGGCAGCTGGGCCCCATTGGTCTGCGAGTGCACGTTGCTGACCGCAGGGGTGGCCGCCATCTTGCCGGGGGCCTCTTGATTGCAGACCTTGTAGCGCACCATGAGGATGACGATGAAGACCAGCAGCGTTGCCACGATGATGCCACCGATGACCAGGATCATGGTGCCGCCCAGGAGCTGGCTGTGCATCGACTGGCACTGTGGGTAGTCGGCCTTGGTGAAGAACTGGGCACAGCCCACGATGTTGGTGGCCGTGAGCGTCGTGGCAGTGTCGTCCCACATGGCCAGCACGCACAGGTCGTAGCCAGTCCCTGACACCAGGTTGTTGACCACGAAGGCCTTGTTGGAAGCTGGGATCATCCTGGGGTGGTGGGGGTAGACGTAGAGGAGGATGGGTGGTGAGGGACAGCAAGGTGATGGGGGGACAGAGGCAGAAATAGAAAGAGAGAGAGCGACAGAGACAGGAGATGGAGAGGTGGAGGGGGAGAGAGACAGACAGACACAGGGACACAGAGAGAATGAGGCAGAGCAGAGAGAGAGTGACAAGCGAAGAGACAGGAAAAGGGAGAGATAGAGAGACGGAGAGGAGGAGAGACAGACAGGCAGAGGGCATAGAAAATAGTGAAGGAGTCAGAGAGATGTGAGGACAGGGACCCAGGTAGGAGAACAGAGACAGGTTGGGGTGAAAAGGGAGGTGAGAGGGAAAGAGTCAGGGGTAGCAGTGTTGTCAGAGAGACGTGCACAGACAGAGACAGCAGCGATCGTGTGCCCAGAAGACATGCAAATAAATGGAGGATGAGGATGCGGAGGAAGAGGATGAGAACGGAGACAATCGGAAGTGGAGACAGTGGAAAGCGGTTTGGAGATGAAGGTACAGAGAACAGAGGAGAGGGCCTCAGGCAGAGATGAGAAAAGAGACACAGGAGGGGCCGGGGGTGGGGACAGGAGAGGCAGAGAGGTTAAGGCCTGAAGAAGCCGAGATTATACAAAGGGACACCCCCAACCCCCTTCTGCCATGTCTGCCACAAATTTTCCCTCAGGATCTGGGAGATGGGGGTGAGAGTCAGGTCAGCCTGGGGCCGCTCCAGCACCCCCGCAGGCTCGGTCCCCGCCTCGCTGTGTCCTCAGAGATTCGTCAACACTGACAGAGCCCCCGTCTGGGCCTGCACTGTGCCCAGTCACACAAGGCTCTGTCCTTCCTGTCCTCAGGAGCCAACGCCATCCTCCAGCCTTTTCGTGCCTGGAGGGGGAGCACGTCTGCTGCTGCACAGCCCTGGGAGGGGGGCGTCCAAGCAGAGGAGAACTGGAGGTGGGAGGTGGTGTTGCTCAGAGGTGGGGGGGACAGTGCAATGTTGACAGCTGGAGGGCGATTCAAACCCTGATCTCTAAGGCCCTCGTCCGGTATCACGCCCTCCAGAGTCTCCAGAGACCACGCCTGTGTCACCCCGTAAACACTCCTGCAGAACATTCACCTGGGCCTGAAGGTGTTGCACCTCTCTGCAGCCTTTCCCCTCACCCCTGACTCCCAAGGAGCCCTCCGTCCTCCTGTCTCCTGTCCCCTAGTACTCAAGGGCTCCATCAGCACCCGTCAACCTCTCAAACCCAGAGCCAGGCAGTTAATTGAGATCTCAAATATGGAATACCGGAGCCTGAAAACCCACCTGGGAGCTGCCCACAGAGGATGGGAGCTGACAGGAGATATTGACGACCCGTCAGTGGGCAGCCCTGGAGGTTGCTCCTCCCTCCCCCCATCCGCCTGTTCTGTGGATGGGGAAGCCACAGGGAGGAACTTTTGTCCTCTGCCCCACCCCCACCCCACAGCGACAGTGCTTGGGGCGGAGAGGCAGGTGGAGGCTGGGGGCTTGCAGGCCAGCGCTTTAGATCTCTCCCTTTCACCTGAGCATCATGGCAATCCTGCGAGGGCAGGGATTAGTGCCCTCATGTCACAGATCAGGAACAGCCAAGACTCAGACAGGCTGAGTGATTCTCCTGAAGTCACACAGCTGGGACTGTCGAGACTTAACACCAGCTTCCAGGTCCACAGTCTGGGCTTGTTTCTTACCACAAATGTGGGATGTTTATCCTCCTCTCAGAGAGAACTCCCCCCTGGCCTGTGGCAGGTCGGCCACCGCTTCCCTGGAGCAAGCCCACAGCCTGCGAGGCTCACACTCCACCAGCAGGATCTCTGGTCTGTGGCAGATCCTGAGGAGCCCCGGGTGGCCAGTGCTACCAGGGCCGCTTCCTTCCCCTCAGGGCTAGTGATGTGCGTTGGAGGGGCAGGAGCCGTGCACATGCAGAATGGTGACAATAGCAGAGCAAACACCAGGTGCCAACTCTGTGCTCTGTTTTAAGTGCCTTATGTCTGTCAACTCACTTAGTCCTGAAGCAACTCTCTGCGGTAGCCACTCTCAAGATCCCCTCTCTGTGGATGGGGAAACAGGTGCAGAGGTATCAAGTGAGCAGATACAACATGGCAGAGCTGGGGTTCAAACCCAGGCATCCAGCTCCTGTCCTCTCTGGACCGCTGTTCCCACCACCCCGCTGGGGCCTGAGCATGTAAGAGCACATCTGTTGAGGAGGGGATGGGCTGGCTGTTTACTGAGCACCTGTTATGTGACAAGGTTTCCACGTTCAATAGTGCGTGTAAGCTTCACAACAATCCCAGGACACGGGAGATGGACCACAAGGCTGGAGATTATCCCAGTGTTTAGCCATCTCATCCTGGGAAGCAGACCCTCCTCTTACAACCACACTAATAATGACAATAATAAGGAAGAAGAAGCCTAGCTGAGATGGAAGGCTTACTCTGTGCCAGGCACCCTTCTGAGATCTTTGAGGGGATTAATACTCATAACAGTTGTGGAGAGGTTGTTACTATTACTGTCATCTCCATTTTGCAGATAAGAACTCGAGGCACAGAGAGGTTAAGCTGCCTGCCTAAGGGTGCCCAGCTAGTTAAGTGGTAGAGCCAGGATCCGAACCAGGCAGTCTGGCCGCAGAGCCTCTACTCCTGACCACTGTGCCACACTGCCTCTCAGCCTCTGCCCAGTTTTCCTGCCCCTCGGGGTGACTTTGGGGGTGACTCTGCCTGGCCTCTCTCCCTCCCCATTGCTTCCCAAGTCAGCGAAAATCACGATGCGATGAAGCTGCAATTGGGCTGTGCTGCTAACGGGGGTGCGGTGGGGCGAGGCTGATCCTTGGCAGGCCGCTGGCTCCAGGGAGGAAGGGTCAGGCTCAGAAAAGCTTCACACCATAACTGGCCCATCGGAAACAGGGCCAGAAGAAGGGCCTGCTTCTCGGAGCAGGAAAGAGGCTCCTGGTTCCTCTGCTGTGGTGTGTGTGTGTGCGTGTGTGTATGGTTGAAGGGATTTACAGGAGAGCCAGAGCCAGCTGGCTCAAAACTGCCTTGGCAGTCAAGTTTGCCTTTGCCAATAACAATAATAACTGAGTGCTAATCTTGCACAGGGACGTTTACGTGCATTATCTCATTTAACCTCCTGACAACTTCCGGTGGAAGTTATGATCATGCCCATTTAGGGAAGGAGGAAGCTAGGCAGTTTTCTCTTTCTCTTGGGGGAGTGGTGGAGCTGAAACCAGATCTGGATCCGCTGGGACTCAGAGCCCACACGCTTAATCAGAAGCGAGACTGCCCCCCCACTCCAGGCAGCTGAAAGGACGAACTGCCTGAGAATGTCATGTGAAATGGGCACTATTCCAACTCCAGTGACAGAACCACACTCATATCTGGCCCGTGTGGCCCTGTCCTCGTTCTCCCCGACACAACCAACCACGGATCCTCCTAGATCTGGGGGGCCTGGATCCCCCCTTCCTTCCTACCCACATCCCACCGGCACTCTGGCTGGTAGGCTCCACCTTCTGAACTCCTCCCTGCCTTCCATCCCCACACTCATGCTTTGGCTTAGGCCTCGCCATCTCTGGTCTGGATGAATGCAGCAGCCTCCCTGCCTCTGGTCGTGCTCCTTAAAGTCCGTGCTCAGCACTGCCATCTCCAGAGTGCTCCATCTAAAACACAACTCTGGCCGTGCCCCTCACCCACTGAAACACTCTTCAAGGGCTGGCCGTGACCTGCAAGGGACAGTCCAAGCTCCTGAGCTGGGCTCCCAAACCAGGCTTCCCACCACAGTCTTGTCCTTCCACCCACACACCCTGTAACTTTAGCCACATAAAGACCTGGGAATGAGTTGAGTTCTTCAGGGGTAGAAGACACAGTAACACAGGGATAATTAAAGACTTCACTTACAAGGGGGTAAAGAAGGGATGGGGGACCACAAGGGAATGTGCGATAAGCCGGGATTGGTAGCAGCCAAGCTGTCACCCTCTCTAGGTCTGAGTATACCAGAGGAGGTCTCCAGACCCAGGAAGGAGAGGGAATCATGCAGGTCAGCGCTACTTAGAATGTGGCCCACAGGTGAGTGCTGGTCCATAATCTGTTCCTGGTCCAGGATCAGAGAGTACAGAAATTGAGAGTAAGCATTAAGAAAGTTTTATAGTGGGGTCGGCCCCGTGGCATAGTAGTTAAGTTTGTGCGCTCTGCTTCGGCAGCCCGGGGTTCACGGGTTCAGATCCCAGGTGTGGACCTACTCACCACTTATCAAGCCATGCTGTGGTAGTGTCCCACAGACAGAAAATAGAGGAAGATTGGCACAGATGTTAGCTCAGGGACAATCTTCCTCAAGCAAAAAGAGGAAGATTGGCAATAGATGTTAGCTCAGGGCCAATGTTCCTCACCAAAAAATAAAAAAAGAAAGTTTTATAGCAATTTGGCATTGGTTGTGACATCCAAGTGCATGATAATTTCATTTCTATTATATTCTTACAAAAGCATTGGTCTGCAGCAGGTTGGGGGAAAACAGTGCTAGTCCTTCACTCTGAATAGCTTGAGAAGCACTGATCTAGAGCAGGTTTCTCAGCCTTGGCACTATTGATACTTTGGGCTGGATCATTCTTTGTTGTGGGGGCTGTCCTGTGCACTGTAGGATGTTTAGCAGCATCCCTGGCATCTACCCACTGGATACCAGTAGCATCTCCAGTCATGACAACCAAAGATGTCTCTAGACATTGCCAGATGTCCTCTGGGGGCAAAATCACCCCCTGTTGAGACGCATTCGTCTAGAAAATTTGGTTGAGGGACAGAGACAGCAGGGGCAACCTTACAGTGTGGGAACCAGAAAAATAAGTACCCTGACCTCACGCTCTTCTCTCTACCCAATCTTCTGCGAACTCCCATGGCTGAATCCAACCAAAAGCCGGAGTTCATGGGGGCACACTGGGCAGCCTGCCAGGACCCACAGCAGGGTGGAGGAGGGGAGAGTGGATCTGGAGATGCAAAAGTCAATATC